GTCTCCGGGGCCTGTAAGCCCTAAGTTTTAGGCTTTTAGGCTGACTGTCTGGGACGGGCCCTGTAGGGCCCGTGTGGCTACGCAGTATGCCACAAAGATGAGGATTAAGAGGAGGAGGAAGAAGAAGAGGAGGATTAAGAGGAGGAGGAAGAGGAAGAGGAGGAAGAAGAGGAAGAGGAAGAGGAGGAAGAAGAGCAAGAAGAGGAAGAAGAGGAGGAAGAGGACGAAGACGAGGAAGACGAAGACGAGGAAGATGAAGACGAGGAAGACGAAGACGAGGAAGAAGAGGAGGAAGACGAAGACGGGGAAGAAGAGGAGGAAGACGAAGACGAGGAAGACGAGGAAGATGAGGACAAAGAAGACGACGAGGAAGACGAAGAAGACAATGACGAAGACGAGGAAGAAGAGGAGGAAGAGGAAGAAGAGGAAGACGAGGAAGAAGAGGACGAAGGCGGGGAAGAGGAGGAAGAGGAGGAACAGGAGGAACAGGAATAGGAAGAAGAGGAAGACGAAGACAAGGAAGAGGAGGAAGGAGAAGAAGGAGGAGGAGAAGAAGGAGAAGGAGGAGAAGAAGGAGAAGGAGGAGAAGGAGAAGGAGGAGGAGAAGGAGGAGGAGGAGGAGGAGAAGAAGGAGGAGGAGAAGAAGGAGGAGAAGGAAGGAGAGGAAGGAGAAGAAGAAGAAGAAGAAGAAGAAGAAGAAGACTGATAAAAAACAGGCTGATGACCACTCCCGGAAACGAAGTCGTATGGCGAGAGACTTGAGTGTCAAAATCTCTCTCTCTCTCTCTCTCACTCACACACACACACACACACACACATGGACATGCTGATCTCATTCCGGATCAGCGCCGCGGCCCTCGTCCTAAGATGGTTGTTCGCTGCGGTCAGCTGATTCCGAGTCATCCTACACCACCATCTTACCCTTAAGGTGCTGTTTCCTTTTTTCAGCCGGTGTAGTGGCCGCATCGGTCTTGGGCTTCCGAGGTCTGTGTTATGATTCTGGTTGTTTGTTGTCTAATGACCAACACTCACTCACATAGACTTCCAGGTATGCCCATACATACACAAAAGGAAGGGGAGAGGATAGGAGTATCACACCGCACAGAGAGAGAGAACACAGCGGAAGACTTGACCATGCGCTATGACAGGGTACACTGAAAGTGCAATTCACTCCACTCAATCCTCACAACCAGTCATAAAGAAAAGTCGAGCAGACCACATCCAGGAAAACAATGAAACAATGATAGTCCAACCCAGTTACACACTGTTTATTCAACTCAGAGTCTCGAATTGTTAGGATAACTTCAGTACTACAGTGCGCTGCTCAGAAATGAGCAGCGCTTCACTCCCAACCCCGATCAGCACCCGTAACACCCCTGAGCCCCTGAAACATCAAGCACCACCCAAATACAACCTCCTGAGGGAAGCGCCACCCTGAAACAAGCCTCTGAGGCCAAGCGCCACTCAGAGGATGAAGAAGAAGACCAGCGCCACAGTATCAAATGATGACGAAGTGTCGGAAGACTTCCGGGTGGAAGTCCGCAGCAGCGCCACCAAACCCTGACAAGATGACCTCTGAGGAAGAAGTTGCAACTATGGCTGCAGCGCCACCACCCTGGAACCCCACTCTCGAGGAGGGTCCAACAGGGCACCAACTTCTCTCGCCTCCAACAGACCTCGATAACCCAGACCTTTGTCAGCCCCTGCGTGCTGGCAGAGTACAGCGCAGGTCCCAGCTATGGCCGGCGCTCCGGAGGTCTCGCTATGCCTCTCTCCTTCAACGCTAAGCCGTCACCACTTTCGGTTCACGCGTAGCGCAGTAGCGATGTACTCGGTACCAATAGCCAAAAGCCCTGAACCAATGTGCCCATTATATCTATAGACTACACTAGCCTAGACTCGACCTAGACCGGACTGACTGACCGACCGGTACCGTTTCTGTTTCGGCCTCTCGACCTCTACCGAACCCGGTTATAGGCTATAGGACTGTCTATCAAAATAGGCCCTTAGGGCCTGTATGTCCTAGAGGTAGCCCAGGCCTGCTATTCACATTTAGGGTAGATGTAGGGAACTCTGTTTAGTACCGGGCCTGCATTTTTCCCGAATTTGCAAATGTGTCCCTCGCGAATTTCCGTCACAAGTAGGCCTCTCGGTTAGCCCTCAGCCAAACAAAATCACGAATCTATCCTACCTGTAGGACAGCCTCGACAAAGAGAGGCTACAGGCGGCCAGAAAACCGCGAGTCATTGCAGACCTACCCTCCCCCGGAGCGAGGACCTCCAAGCCAGGGGCGTAGGCGTGCAGAGCGCCGAAGGGATACTCCCTTTTGTGCTGCCTCGTATTTGAGGATAACTGACTTTGCAATCTTCAGAAGTTCCTTGCGAGTAAACCAGAGGTCCTCAGTATGCGGCTGGTACAAAAACTTCACAAGGTACTCCTTATCTGGACCTGTACCTGACTCATCCTCCACAAATTCCACCTCATATCCTTTACCATGGATAGGGGGACCGAACTGAGGAGGCTTGTCTGGGAATGCAACAGCTGGCGTGAACGGCAACAACTTAGATGCATGAAAGACAAGGTAGGTTTGTAAATGCTGAGGGACATCCACCATAAAGGATGGTCCAAATGGATCAGCTCCCACTGTATCTAAGACCTGCCATGGACCCATATATTGTGGCAACAGCTTAGGCGAAATATCCTCCTCTCGCGACAACTCAGAACTGAGTACCCACACCTAGTCACCTGTGCGAATAGTGAAAAGACGCCTGTGCTCGTTAGCCTGCTGAATCATAGCCTTTTGGGCTTTCAGCAGGTTAGCACGGGCGCGCTCTATGTCCACACGGTAACATCTTGTGAACTCTGCAGTTCTAAGTGTCAGCATAGGGGTAGCCTTATCGATGATGTCATTGAGACACTGTCGTGGCTCACAACCGCAGTGCAACCGGTAAGGTGTAAAGCCAGTAGAGGAGTGTACAGACGTGTTGTACACAAGTTGTGCATGACCCGAATGGAGATCCCAGTCCTGTTGATCTGGACTGATCAGAGGACGCAACAATTGAAATAGAATTTGGTTCATCACTTCAGCTTGTCCATTGGCTTCAGGATGACGACCAGATATCATATCCAGTCTGGAATGAAGGTAATCCCTGCAGTAGGATTGCCACTCATTGCTGCAGAAACGAGGATCTCGATCACTAGCGATAGAGGTGGGTGGTCCATGATGTGTAACCCACCTGTCACCAAATGCCGCCTGAACAGTTGGCACACGAGCCTCAACTGGTAAGGGGATGAACTATGCATATTCGGAGAACCGATCCACACATACCATGACCTGACGCATACCACAAGGAGTAGTCCTACCCAAGTCAGTAAAATCAATAGACACTGACTGTGCAGGAGCATCAGGGATAGGTAGTGGTTTGAGTAGGCCAAGGGGAGGTCGACGTATCACTCCTCGTCTCCTTCCAGAAGAAGCATTGCGACAGGGCTGCATAAGATTTGGGCACCGAAGTGACACGAGCATCATGACACTCTGACATCAGAAGTGTCCTCAGCTTGCGGTCCTAGGGAATGCACAAGGGTTCCTCACCTCTGTTGCACATATACAGCAAACCTGAGACCATAGTATATCCTGGTTCAGAGGCAGGATCATCCAGGAGATTCCTCACAATAGGCCCAAAAATCTCATCCTGGGGCAGCAAACGGGCAATGGTCTGACGAGTCTTTTCTCCAAAAGAGTGGGTAAAGGAGATTAGGAAGAGAACATCAGGCCTACGAGAAAGGGCATCTACTACGCGATTGTAGCAACCCTTGTGTTTCAGTTCAAAGTGAAACATGTCGATGAACTGAATGTAGCGAGCAAGCTTGTCATTCAACTCTCCCTGGGACTTCATCCACTGTAGGGTGGAGTGATCTAAAAAGATCTTGAAGTGCCTGCCTAGTGCTTCCAATGCTTGAGCGCTGACACAAGAGCATAAAGCTCTTTCTCATAGGTAGAGTCCTGCAGCTTCTTGGTTTTGATCTTCTTGCTCATATACTCGATAGGCTGCAGACCATTCCCATCATCCTGTTGAAGTACCGCCCCTACACCATACTGACTAGCATCAGTAGTAAGCACAAAAGGCAAGGTAGGGTCAGGTAGCTTCAAGACGGGCACGAATCAAGGCCTCCTTGAGACGTGTGAAAGCCTCCTGACATTCTCATGTCCAAAGAAGTGTCTTTTTTTGCGAGATCGGTCAAGGGAGCTGCAATAGAAGAAAAATTCTAAATGAACTTCCTGTAATACGATACAAGTCCCAAGAATGACAGGACATCACGAATGTTAGCAGGTCTCGGCCAGTCCTGAACTGCAGCGACTTTCGTTGCTTCAGGAGCCAACCCCTCTCCAGAAATGACGTGTCCCAGATAGACTACAGAGGGAACTCCAAAAGAGGATTTCTCCCTGTTAATCTTATACTCGTAATCACGTAAGGCCTGGAGGACTAGAGCCAGATGCTGCGCATGCTCCTAGACAGAACGACTGAATACCAAGATATCATCCAAGTAGACAACTACGAACTTGTCAAGGTAAGGCCCGAGTATGCGATGCATCTCTGTCTGGAAGGTGTCGGGGGCATTGCAAAGACCGAATGGCATGACCAGGTACTCTTAAGTACCATACCTGGTCTTGAAGGCTGTCTTGTGGACATTGCCTTCAACCAATCTCAATCTGGTGATAATCAGATTTGAGGTCGATCTTTCTAAAAATGGTACAGCCCTGCACCATGTCCAACAGATCATCAATGCGAGGAAGGGGCTCTGTAGACTTCCTTGTGATTCTGTTAAGACCAAGGTAGTCCACACACATCCTGAACTCACCATTCCCCTTAGGAACAAAGAGGACTAGTGCCCCAAACTCAGATGTGTTGGGCCTGATCCAGCCCTTGCTGGTCAAGGTCTCCAACTGTTTCCTGAGCTCTTCAAAGCAGGATCTCATTCTTATGTTTGGTCTGTGTATGGACAAGTCCAGTAGGCTCCTCCATAAGATATGAGAAACTGTTTACAACCTGCTGAATCTGAGAGGGACAGGGAGCAGACTCCACGTCAGTCTGTTTGGCATAAGCCACGAACAAACGGGCGTGGTCAGTCTGGCGTGAAAATCGAAGAAATCTGCGAGCACTCATGCAATAACAGCTGCCGGCCGAATGGTACTCATCAACGAGCATGCAAGGGCGTTATACCCCATGTCGGTCAGGTAGCTCAACCCTAGGAATCCGCTAGTCGATCCTAGGATTGGTGACACCAAGCCACTGCATAGAGAAGAAAAGGTCAAAGGGAACATTAGGAAACACACAGAAATTCAGGCGGTGCCTGATTTCTCCCTGCTTGTCAAAGGACACAGGTAGACCCTTGACAGCAGTAGTGATCCTGACTGTGGAAGAGTCTCCAATGCACACCTCTATAGGTTGTCGGAATTTCACCAACCTCTGATCCAAGTGCAACTTGTTGACTGCCTTGGGAGAGATGAAGTTGCGAGTAGCCCCACAGTCCAAGAGCCCTTTGATCTTGGCTCCCAGGATGACGGGTCGAAGTAGGATGAGTTCAGCCCTATGCTTTTTCTTCTTTTCCTGCAAAGACAGGAAGGGATCAGCAAGGCACTGAGCATCGTCCTCCTCCCACGTCTCATCCAACTCAGAGTCTTCAAAAGTGAAAGACCCTGGAGATGCAACTCCAGAAAAAAAA